GTGAGCAGAGGCCCACGGGTGTTATCTGAGCCGGCCATCAGCAGCGGATCCAATGCACCTCCAGCTCCTCTGCAAAGGCAGTGACCTGCAATGACCTGCAGCAGGCTGGGCCGGGAGAAGCCTGGAGGAGGGCACACTTGGGAGGATGAAGCTGCCAGAGAAACCTGAGCTGCAGGAACACGGAACCCGGCCTGAGGCTATTCTAGGTCTGGACCTGGCTCGGGACTCAGGACTCTAGGGCCTCACAGTGACAGGCTGGATGGGCAAGAGCAGGTAGGCAGGGGAGGGAGGGCTGGGGCCACCCGTAGCAGAGCCTTAGGGCTGAAGACGCCCCTGCTCTTGTTCACAGGCATTATCAGGTCTCCTGGGCTGGGCTCTCTCTCCTCCGATGAGAGAAGGAGCTCAGAGAGGACAAGTGGCCCCTAAGGTGGCCCAGCCTTGGGCACCCGGCCATGTGGGCACACTGAGTCCTGACCTCCCGCTCCCCAGCACAGGCGTCCTGCCTCTGGCTTGGGACCTGCCCCAGTCACTGCGGTGGCCCCGGCTGGGACCATTCCTGTGCACCTGCAGCACACCCACCGCGGATCCTTCAGGAGCTGGGGGTCCAGTTCACCCAGTGCCTCGAGGCCCACCCAGGGCCGTGGTCGGCAAACCGTGGCTCGCAGCCACATGCGGCTGTTTGGCCCCTTGAGTGTGGCTCTTCCTAAGCCTTAGGAGTACCCTAATTAAGTTAATAACAATGTACCTACCTATATAGTTTAAGTTTAAAAAATTTGGCTCTCAAAAGAAATTTCAATCGTTGTACTGTTGATATTTGGCTCTGTTGACTAATGAGTTTGCCGACCACTGACCCAGGGGAGACCTTCCAGCATCTGACTCCGACTCCTTCTGGGACACGGAGCCAGACCCAGAGCTTGGGAGGCCGAGTTATCACAGGACATCTGCAGCCCAAGCCAGGTTTCTTATCATGTCTGTCGTCTGTCCTGATTCTGGAGGCTCACGTGCTCTGGTGTTCCCTTCATCTCTGGGGAGAGACCCAAGGGGACAACTCCCTTCAGCTGCCCAACTTTCTGCCCTACGACATATCCCACCCATTACTTTAAACCCAGGTAACCATGTCCCTCACCCCCATGAATGCAGAAGGCCCAAGGCCAAGTTCTGGAGAAGGGGCATATGTCCATCCTACCTTGTACAGTCTCTGCCAGGAGGAGGGGCTGACTCCCAAGCACACAGCTCTGCCTGGAGTGAAGTATGCCATTAGGGAACGTGTCATCACACCAGTGAGCATCTGCCCTGTGCTGAGGACACTCCCCTGTCCCCACCAGGGCAGTTCTATTCTCTCAGGCTATGGGGCCGAGCAAAGAACAGAGACCAAATAATCCAAGGAGAGAACTCCCTTGGCATCCACGGTCCAGGACCTCTGGGAAGAACCAGAACCTCTAGCAAGACCTCAGCTGTGCCTGGGACTTAAGGGGGCCAGCGAGCATCTAACCCAGGTATAGAGTTTTCTTTTGTTTTTGTTAACAGCTTTATTGAGCTACTAGAGGCCCGATGCACAAAATTCATGAAAGAGTAGGCCTTCCTTCCCCCAGCTGCCGGCACCAGCTCCCCTCCTGCACCTGGAACCCGGGCTTCCCTCACAGCCCTGGCTTCATCCAGACAGTTGTCCGGAAGGACGTCCAGTCTAATTAGCATATTATGCTTTTATTATTATAGATAACACAACAAATTCACCCATTTACCATTCACAATTCAATGGCCTTTATTTTTTTTTCTTGTAGCTTTCTTTTTTTAAAAAAAGTCTTTATTAAGTTATTACATATGTGTCCTTATCCCCACATTAGCCCCATCCCCCCCACTCATGCCCTCACCCCCCTGTTGTCTGTGTCCATTGGTTAGGCCTATATGCTTGCATATAAGTCCTTTGGTTGATCTCTCCCCCTTACCCCCACCCTCCCCTACCTTCCCTCTGAGGTTTCACGGTCTGATTAATGCTTCTCTGTCTCTGGATCTATTTTTGTTCATCAGTTTATGTTGTTCATTATATTCCATTAATGAGTGAGATCATGTGGTATTTATCTTTCTCTGACTGGCTTATTTCACTTAGCATAATGCTCTCCAGTTCCATCCATGCTGTTGCAAATGGTAAGAACTCCTTCTTTTTTACCGCAGTGTAGTATTCCATTGTGTAGATGTACCACAGTTTTCTAATCCATTCATCTGCTGATGGGCACTTAGGCTGTTTCCAAATCTTAGCTATGGTGAATTGTGCTGCTATGAACATAGGGGTGCATATATCCTTTTTAATTGGTGTTTCTGGTTTCTTGGGATATATTCCTAGAAGTGGGATCACTGGGTCAAATGGGAGTTCCATTTTTAGTTTTTTGAGGAAACTCCATACTGTTCTCCACAGTGGCTGCACCAGTCTGCACTCCCACCAGCAGTGCATGAGGGTTCCCTTTTTCTCCACATCCTCGCCAGCACTTGTCGTTTGTTGATTTGTTGGTGATAGTCAATGACCTTTAGTACATTTACAGAGCTGTGCAACCATTACTGCCGTCTGTTCAGAACATTCTCACACCTCCGAAGGAAACCCTGCACCCTAGCCATCACCCCAAACTCCCATGGCCTCCCCAAGTCCCAGGCAGACACCAGTCCTCTTTCTGTCTGTGGATTTGCCTATTCTGTACACTTCTCGTAAATGGAATTGTACACTGTGTGGCCTTTGTTACTTTCAATGAACTGTTTTCAAGGTTCATCCACATTATATCAAGAATCAATACTTTACAGCAAGTCCTCAAATAACGTCACTTTGTTCACCAACATCTCATTATAATGCTAATAAGAAAAAAAACCAAACAATTCCCGAGGGGCTACTGTCTATGTAGAGGGTACACGGTCTCCCATGTCCACCTAGGTTTCCTCCAGGGTCTCTGTGATCCTTTCACATCACAAGGATGTCACGTGAAGGGATGTCCTATCTACACTGTCTCCATCTTCAGGGGCATGGGTGCTCCTGGGGGTCCCACCTTTATGCCTTGAGCTGAAGTGAATGGGTTGGAAAATCATTATCTTACTCATTGTTGTTGTTGTTTTTCATATATTTTTATTGATTTCAGAGAGGAAGGGAGAGGGAGAGATAGAAACAACAATGATGAGAGAGAATCATTGATCGACTGCCTCTTGCATGCCCCCCACTAGGGATAGAGCTCATAATCCAGGCAAGTGCCCTGACAGGGAATCAACTGTGACCTCTGATTCATAGGTCAACGCTCAACCATTGAGCCACATCAGCTGGGCTATCTTCCTTATTAATCTTTCTCAAATGTACGTGTAGCTCACATTGATTTCAATGTTTAACATTAGAAGTGTTTGGGGCCTTTATTTAGAAGTTTAATGATGTATTTTTGACCAGAAATATGTCGTAGGAACTTAACTCTGTTTCTGTCAATTAACCTCTAGTACAATTGGCTTTGAATACTTTGTTTCACTCACTGTCACAGTGTTTAGGAACCTATTGACCACATTAAGTGCGGACCTGCGGTAGTCCTTCCTATGGGTGAACAATACCCACGTGGACAGACCACTCTGTTTATCAGCAGCCACGGAGGGACGCTGGGCCGTTCCATCTTCTGGCGATTGCAGATTGTGCTGCTCTGACCATCCGTGTACAGGTGTCTGCGTGGACACATTTTCTGTTCCTCTGGGCACATATCCGGGAGCGGAATTGCTGGGTCACGTGGTGGGTTTGTGGTTGACCTTGAGGAACCGCCGCATGTTTTCCACAACAGCTGCCCCCCTTGTCACCCCCACCAGCAGCATGAGGCGGCAGGTTCTCCACATCCTCCCCAGCTGCTGATATCCAGCGGTCCCCTGCCTGTGCAGTGGCCTCTCGCCATGGCTGTGATTGGCATTTTCCCGAGGGCCTCTCTACACATGCTCCTTGCCATCTGCATGCCTCCCTCGGTGGTGCCACAGGAACTTCCTGTCTGGCATGTCGGACGCATCCCTGTTTACTTTTCCCTTGGCAGTCCTTCCTTCTGGGAATTGTGTTCCCTGCCTGTTGGGAAACAGCCCGCCCTTCTTTCTGCCCTTCCCTCATATGTGGTGCCAGAGGGCGCCCTCCCTCCTCACCCACTTCCATAGCCGTGGGACTGGCCAAGGGGTGACTATCCAGGAAGTTGGCCAGAAGTGAGCCAGAAGCATGGAGCCTCGAGGTGGCTGTCAGGGCTGCGGGGCAGCGGGGCCATGAGGCCAACAGCCGCACAGCGAGAAGCAGCTGTGAGTGAGGGCAGAGGGCCGCGCCTGGCCCAGGGGAACCCTTCCGGAACCCGCAGACCCATGCGACTTTGAGTGGGTTTGCCACATTTGTGACAGAAGAGTCAGAAAGACACAAACCCCATCCTGTCCTTCGGCGTCTGGCCGGTGACATTGTAGGACCGGCGCCCGTCCGAGATCCGGGATCGTCCCTCTGTCATGTGGAGCCACCTACTTTGACATCATCCACGTGGGCCACTCGGGCGGCGTGTGACCAGCCCGCCGTGGAGCGGGCATCGCAGGCAGCTCGGCCTGGGCTTGTCCCAGTGGCTGCCGTTCCCAGGCCCCTTGGTAAGCGCAGCAGCGGGTGCTCACGGAGCGCAGTGCCACCGAAAGGAGACAAGCGCGTGGGGTTCCACATCAGTGCGTGAGCAACTTCTCAGTGGAAATTCACACACGAACCCCCAGGGGCCCCAGGGGAGCTGTCGTTCTCTGCGAACCCACTATGCACCAGGCCTGGAGCTGGCACCTCCCCTCTGCTGCAGACGGGGAAACCGAGGCCTGGATGCCCTCCAGAGTCAGGGTGGCGGCCTCCCAGCGTCCTGAGGCAGGTCCTGGGGGCCGCTCCCTCGGGGACGGGCAAGGACTGTCTCCAGGCCCTCGGGCTCACCCTGCCTTGCTGACTGGACACATGATACCCACGGAAGGAGGAAATAGGTCAGAAAGCCCCTTCACACGTGGTATGACTTTATGTGAATTTAATAGAAATCAACTCTTCCATGGAATTTAGGGGTTTGGCAAAGGTCTAAAATTGGCTCTTAAGAGCTTGTGGCTTGGCCAACCCATATGCACTGGGAGGTTCCCTCAATTTCTAAACCCAGAAGGAAAGATGGTATCAACATTGCTGCGTGACTCCATTACAATTTCAGTCTTTGCAAACCAAGGAAGACAGTGGGTTTGAGCTCCCCCTTGGCACCCTGCACAGGACAATGTGGAGACGGCCCTAGACCATGTTTGTCAAGTAGAAGGAAGCTTGGCTCTCAGGTAGAGCTGGGCCTTCAGGTGCAGGCTGGGTGGTGCTGACGGGGTGTGGGGAGGACCACTGGGCTGTGGAGGGCAGGTCCTGAGTCACCGTCCCCTCTCCCCGGCCCTCCCCAGCCCCAGCTCACATGATCTTGTCCAGGCTAAGCCTTGAGTGTTGGGTGACAGTGTTGTCATACTCCACCAGGTGCAGCCACAGGCCCAGGGCCCGACCCAAGAGATGGGGCACCTTCAGTATCGTGAGCCCTGGCTCAGCTCAAGCTTCCAGCCACTGAGTGAAGTCCCGGGCCACTGGGTGATCTAGAATATTCCTTCAGTCCTGCTCACCGCTGCTTTCCTGTGGCCCTGACGGCTCTCCCTGGAGACAATGTGAAATCCACTGATGTGTCGCAGTCTTAAAAAACAAACCAAATTTTTTATTTGAGATAATCACAGATTCCCATGCAGTTGTAAGAAACAATCCCCTTCACCCATGTTCCCCAAAGGTAGCATCGGCAGGAAATGAGCACAGAATCATGGCCACGAAATTGATGGCAATACAACCCACCCACCTGATTCAGCTGTCATCAGTTTCACGTGCCCTCATCTGTGTGCGTGCTTAGTCCTGTACCATTTAATCACATGTGTAGGCTCCCAAATCCACTGCCGCAGTGACTACAGCTGCGCACAGGAGTCCTCTGCTGCCTTTTGTAGCCACAGCCACCCCTCCGCTCCCTGACCCTGTCAGAGGCAGAGGACAGGTGCAAGAGTGGTTGGTCAGCATGTCCCTCTTTTTTTCTGTTAACCTCCGTCCAGCAGGTCCTGGGCTGAGCGTCAAATGGAAAGGCGGCCGTGTGGGCCGCAGGGAACAAGGCTCACCAAGGACTGGGCTCCCGTCCTGAGACACGGTGCCCCCGGGCGGGTCCCACCTGCCTGGCCTGAGACTGAGGGACTGGATGTGTTCCCAGGGGACTCTGCTGATTCTGCTCTTTGTTTACCTTTCCCCACTGGCTTCCCTCAAGCTTGCCCAGCAAATAGCAAGGCTGCCCCCTCCTCGCCTTAGAGCCCCATGGAGGACGCCCCAGCCGCTGCCAGGCTGTCCCTTACGGCCCCGTCTCCTGGGTCAGCCCCACAACGGAACTCACCTGGGCCTGTTTGCCTCTCGTCTATGTTTTGAACATGACAGTGTTCCGCTGGAAGCCCTGGCTGCCGGCCCCTCGTGGGAGGCAGCTGGAATCCCTCAGGCGCAGGCCCTGAGATAGATAACCCACCGCAGGACTTGCGGCGCCGGCTGTTGGGTAACACTCCTCCATTCCCACTGGCTTCCTCCCTGGCACCCCCAGCACCCACACAGCCCTGCGGCCTCCTCTCTTCTTACGTGGGATTTCAAAGTGTGCCACTCACCTCGCCTGCCGGGAAGCCGTGCTCTTGTCTGTCCTCACTCCTGCCCATGCCAGCTCGTTCCATCATGGTGCCGGAATGGCTTGTCCTCTCCTGGGCCACTGCCATCCACAACAGCCAGTTGGCAAGAGGAGTGGTACTGTTTCATGATGTTCCCGCTGCAGACCAAGGCTGAGGTGGGGACGCCCGTGGGGGCGGGGCATGGTGGGGGAGGTGCGGGGGGCACCCTGGTGGGAGGTGTGGGGCTCCATCCCTGGCCCAGGCACACACAGCACCTCCTGGTTCTCCAGAAGTTGTCCTTCAGTGATAGGACCACGGTGTGTCCTGTGGGACCTGGGGCGAGGGGGCAAAGAGCATGCCATACAGGAGAGGATGGCCTTGGGGTCTGGGGCTGGAGCCAAGGAGGAAGGAGGCTGGAGTCACGGGGTGGAGTCGGGGTTAGCATTGGGTCAGGAAGAGGTGGCAACCAGGGCAGGAGGGGGCGGGTGCAGGTGGCTGAGTGCGGAAGAGCGAGAAGGAGAGAGCCTGCCCTTCAGCTGCTGGCAGGCCAGGTCTCAGGTCCTGGAGAGGCTTCTGCTGGGTTTAGGAGGCGACAGGAGAGGGGCAGCCAGTCTCCCAGAGCTGCGGTCCCTCGCCCACTGCGGGTGTCTCAGTGGGCACTGCGTGCCCGGGTCATCTCTGTGGGCAGCCAGGGGCCCCACATGGGGTCCCCTCCCTAAGCTCCTGCTCCCTTCCTCCTTGTGGGACTGCGAGCCACCTCTTTGGCTTGTGACCACCTTGCTCTATTCCAGTGGTTCTCAACCTTGGCTGCACATTAGAATCACCTGGGAATCTTTTTAAAATCCTGATTTCTGGGCCTCATCCTCCGGAAATTCTGTTTCTTTGTTATGGGCTGGGGCCACAACATTAGTAACAAAGAAACAGAATTTCCGGAGGATGAGGCCCAGAAATCAGGATATAAAAAAGATTCCCAGGTGATTCTAATGTGCAGCCAAGGTTGAGAGAACCACTGCTCTAGTCTCTGCATATGTGGTCACATTGCCTCCTCCTCCTCCGACCCCGCCTCCCTCCGGCAGGACCCTTGTGATGGCCCTGGGTCCAGCATGCCCTCCCTGTCGCAAGCCCATCAGCAAGGCCCCTTCTGCACAGGTTCCAGGGGCCGTGATTCAGCCGGCCACCCCACCTCCACCCCAGGGCCTGGCAGTGCCCTGGAGCCAGCACTTCGTGGGCGGCTGGGTAAGGTCTTGAGTGGAGACTGCCATGGAGGTTAACTTACTGGCCTTGTGATTTGTGACTTACAGTATTGGACTTGGAGTCACGGAGCATGACTGGAATCCCATGGAGTCCTCATCCTGTGGCAGGGGAGGGGACAGAGAGGGACAAGAGGAGCGGGTCTCCGTGTGAGCGGGCCATGGGCTCGACCGTTCAGTCTGGGCCTTGTACCCGCTGTTTGTCCCTCCAGTGATGGCCCAGTCCTTGGATGCAGACACCAGTCTGTTTTCATTCACCATTGCCCCCCAGGCCTGGCACATGCAGGATGCTAGATAAATATTTGTACAATAAGCACATTGCCTTCTCTCTAGAAATCAGAGCTGAAACTAACATGAAATTAGATTTCTGCAAAACTGCCAGAAATTATTGCTCAACTATCCTTGTAAATATCTGATACCCTGAGGCCAGTACATTAAAAACAAGAAAAATCATGGAAGTCCGTTCTTGACCTTGTAACCCTTGCCTTATCAGGAGAATGCTACAAGAGTACTCTCCAAAGCACAGTCTAGTTCTTGAGGGCGTCGTGTAAGTGGATTTGATTAGTAAAAACATACCGAACACTAATAGATGTGCTGGGCAAAGAGTGGTCTCCCAAAAGCTGTGCACCCCTGGGCCTCATAGCAGGACCTCGTCGGGAATAGGGGTCATTGCAGATGTAACTGAGGACAAGACCTGAGAGGAGGTCATGCTGGTTATCTGGGTGGGTCCTGGGTCCAGTGACTGGTGTCCTTATGAGACGCAGGAGAAACTCGAGCCACTCAGAGCCGCCACCTGAAGACAGAGGCTGAGACTGGCCTGAAGCAGCCACACGCCAAGAAACGTCTGGAGCCACAGGAAGCCGGGAGAGCCGTGCAGGACTCTCTCTTGAGCCTCTGAGGGAGCATGGCTCTGCCTTGATTTCAGACTTCCAGCCTCTGCTGTTTTAAGCCACCCTGTTTGTGGTCATTTGTTACAGCAGCTGCAGGAAACTCATAGTCAGTGAAGACTAAGATTGTGCAAGGGGCACGGCCTCCGTGTGAATGCACAGAAGTGCTGCTCTCTCTGTGCCCATGAGGTAAGAGGCAGAAAGCCTTACCTGAGCCTCAGAGGGCAGGTTTGCTAAGACTGGGCGTTGGCAGTGGTGGCTGCCCTCAGGCGTTCTGACCTGGCAACTCATAAATCCTCACAGACATGAGGACAGGGAGTGACTTGTGACAGTGATGACCCCTTTGCTTCCAGCTGAACACCGGACAAGGTCCCAGTGAAATGTTCACATCGCCCGTTCCCTGCGATTGACCTGTTCATCTTACCTGCTTTCTAAAGTTTGAAAGTATCAAACCTTATTCAAGCAAGAAAACAAGTAATTAAAATAAACATGAGTCCCAATGCTTAGTTGACAGTGGGGAAAGGGAGGGATGGGGAAGAGAGAGTGAAAGGGGCAGATGTGGAGGGGGAGCGGGGCGGAGGCTGGGAGACGTGGTGGCATCCAGGACAGCTGGGAGCAATAGGAGGGAAGAGAGAGTGGCCCCGGGAGAGAAGGGACATGGAAGGGAGGCAGCAGAAGGGAAGAGGGGCTGCAGGGAGAGGGGTGCTTCCAGGCGAGCTGGACGCTGGAGGAAGGGGCAGCAGAAAGAAGGAGCTGGTGGTTAAAAGCAGAGGCCAGTAGGAGGGCAGGGCCAAAGGAGAGGAGCTGAGAGGAGCCAGCACTGCCCACCTGGCCAGCCCTTCTCAGATCCGGCCCACCTACCTGCCTGAGGCCCCCATCCCCACCTACCTGGGAGCAGCACCCCCATCCCTCCCTCCTGACCACCCAGGCCCCGGCTCCAGTTTCCCTCCACACCGTCACTGCTCTCTATCTTTAGGTCCTGCTTGCTTCCAGGAAGCACACACATATTTGATCAGGGAGTAACCACTTTTAACTTTTTAAAAAATAAATCTTTTATTTTAGAATAGTTTCAGCTTTACTGAGAATTTGCAAAGATAGTACAGATTCCCATACACCTAGTTTCCTCTACAGTTCACACTTGCGGTGTGTGTACTTACCACCGTCAGCGAGCGGATGGTGGTGCGCTGTGAGAACAAAGGTCCGGCCGCTTTCCTCAGTTTCCCCCTCAGGATCCCACCCACGATCCCCTTATATTTACTCAGCATGTGTCTTTAGGCTCCTCTTGGCTGTGAGTTCCTCAGACTTCCCTTATTTTTGGTAACCATGACAATTTTAGGGAGGACTGGCCAGAATTTTGTAGAAAGGCTCGATGTTTTTCTCCCAGTCAGGCTGGACCGTGTGTTCTGGTAGAAAAGAGTGCAGAGGTGAAGTGCCCTTCTGGTCATACCACAGCCGGGCACCTCCTGTCAGCACGACACCTCTCGCGGATGGTGGCCTGTGGCCGGCTGCAGCAGCACGCGCAGTTTCCCCACTAGGAAGTGCTCTTTCTCCCACTTCATACTGTCCATGCTCAGCCCACAGTTTGTACTTCCTGCCCTGGAGCCAGAATCCGTCATTTCTCCAAGGAGCCGTGTTCTCCTTGCTGCTGGTGGTGGTAGAAACCGAGATCTGGGTGCTGGTGTGCTCACTGCTCCTGCCATGTCACAGCTTCTGGGCCTCCCCAGCAGACAGAGCCAGGGAGCAGGGCGTCTGCTCCGTCATCACCGTCATTGTGGGGCATCGGTGCTCATGGGAAGAGTCCCATTCACCCCAGTGTCACGGCACAATATAACACCCGCAGAGCCCTAGGCATGTCTTGGTGGTGACGGTCATAGGCTTATTGACACAAGCCTTGGGAACAAAGCCATTAAATGGTCAACTGCACACTCTGTCAGCCCAGAGAACTGAGTCACGGACTCTAAAAATATGCTGAGTGATCAATAATTAAGAAAGTGCTACATACTGTGTCCTGCCCCCCACCCCCTTCGTGGACTGGCCATATGTGTGTGCATGTGCGTGTGTGTGCATATGTCTGGGATGGCACCATTGGACCATTTCCTGTGCTAACCTGTCAGGACACTCTCCATGTCTTACACCCTTTCTGTGAGTGTGGTTGGCTTCACTCTGATGCACAGACTCTGATCAGCGTGTTTTTATAACGGTCTCTTTGTAGGATGTCTGCACTCTTCCCAGTGTCCACAGTGGTGCTGGCCTATTTGGCGACTGCCCCCTACGCCCGGGGACCATGCGGGACTAAAGTTGCATCTGCCCCTTGGGTTCTTTTCTCAGCACATACTCCTAAAAATAGGAATCCCCGGGCCCAGAGCATGTTTTGTTTCCCCCGATTGCTGCTGTGACGTGGTGCTGGCTGACATGTCGACACTGGGTTTCACGCAGCATGGCCCCCACTGCCGTCATCCTGGCAAGCAGGAGGACTGTCCTCCAGTCACTCTGCCAATAGAATTGGGTTTTTAAAAAGGTATTATCCAATTCTTTTTGTTCTACTGTCTATTTATTTGGATTCTGGTGAATTACCATTGTTTTGCGTGTATTGCCATTTATTCACATTTATTCACATAAATGCTCTTTTTCTATTTTTGCTCTTTTTCTATTGGGAACCTTTCTTTTTTTTATTGCTTTATAAAAGGTAATCAACATATCCAAAGAAGTATAGAAAAATATGGAATTACCTGGGCTGAGTGGTCAAACGTATTAAAGGGGAAATGGGGCTTTTGAAACCCGGCAGGAAAGACGCAGAGGGAGCACAGCAGGCTGCTCCCCCCTGAAC